CGCGTGGAGGAGCCGGCCAAGTACGGCGTGGTGGTGTGCGAGGCCGACACCGGCCGCATCTGCCGCTTCGTGGAGAAGCCGCGCGTCTTTGTGTCCAACAAGATCAACGCTGGCCTCTACATATTTAACCCTGGCATCCTGCAACGCATCCAGGTACGAGCTGGGGTGCCAGGCTGGGCCGGGCTGAGGGGCTGTGCCCCCTGCTCAGCCCCGTGTTCCATCCTCACAGCTGCGCCCCACCTCCATCGAGAAGGAGATCTTCCCTGCCATGGCACAGGACGGGCAGCTCTACGCCATGGAGCTACAGGGTAAGGCCCTGTGCACAGTGCAGGCAGCATCGGGGGTCTTGCCTGCACTGCCACCCTCACGCTGGGGGCTGTCACGGTGGCTTTGTCCCCACAGGCTTCTGGATGGACATTGGGCAGCCCAAGGATTTCCTCACGGGCATGTGCATGTACCTGCAAGCGCTGCGGGCTCAGCACCCCGAGAAGCTGCACTCGGGGCCCGGTGTCGTGGGGAATGTGCTGGTGGTAAGTGCCAGCCCCCAGCACACCAGCCCCGGGCACGTCATGAGCTCTCTGCATTGTCCCACCACTGTCCTCGCTGCCATCCTCAAGCTGTGCCCTCCTCTCCCCTGGCTGGCCAAGTGGCATGGGCTACGCCAAGAGCTGTCTGCCCTCCCGACCCTGGCATGGGCCCTCTTCCTTCCAGGACCCCAGTGCCAAGATTGGGGCAAACTGTGTCATCGGCCCCAACGTGACGATCGGGGCCGGCGTGGTGGTGGAGGACGGGGTGCGCATCAAGCGCTGCACGGTGCTGGAAGGCGCCCGCATCCGCTCCCATTCCTGGCTGGAGTCCTGCATCGTGGGCTGGAGCTGCTCCGTGGGGCAGTGGGTGAGGACATGGGTGCCTGCAGGGGATGGGGACTCAGCTCTTGCCCTCCCACCTCCTCGGGCTGTGGTGCCTGCAGGCAGGAGCAGGAGCCCGAGCCCAGGGGTGTGACAGGGCCTCTCTGGGCAGGTGCGCATGGAGAACGTGACTGTGCTGGGTGAGGATGTCATCGTCAACGACGAGCTCTACCTCAACGGGGCCAATGTGCTGCCACACAAATCCATCGCCGAGTCTGTGCCAGAGCCACGCATCATTATGTAGCAGCCCCAGCAGGCCCTGTGCTCCCAGCTCTCCTTGGATTAAATATTTATATTTCCATTTACTGTTAAGCATCACCTGAGTGCGGCCCCAACACCGGGGGCCTTCCCTTTCCCATCTTTCAGGGCACCACATAAGGAAGAATAATTTAATGCTGCTTTTCATGAAGTCAGCCCCCAGCCAGGGGCAAGTTAACAGCCCAGATGCCCAGCCCAGCCCCCTGCCCTGGCCCCGGGGCTGCCGTGTGTTCCCAGCACTGCCGCAGAGCCGAGGCCTTGGGCTCCCCTCCCTGAGAACGGCCCCTGGGGCAGAGAGGCTGCTGGGCACCTGCCTTTCCCACCCTGCAGCCCTCCCGCCTCACGCTGCTGCCCCGTGCTGGGCCCTGCCCCTCTGGGTGAGGGTGCCACAGCCTGAGCAGGGCAGGGTTTGGGGAGAAGGCAGTGTGAGGCGGGGGGGCTGCCCCGCTCCGCTGGGGGAGCCCGTGGGGCTGGGCTCTACGAGCTGGCTGGCTTGGTGAAGTCGTCCACCCCTGTGATGGTGGCCTTACAGAAGAAGCAGTCCTTGTTGTTCATCAGGTGCTGGTTGATGCAGGCTCTGGGACAGAGGAGGAAAGAGCATCAGCCCCCACCCACACGGCACAGGGCAGGGCCAGGGGCTGGAGTCATCCTGGTGGAGGTCACACATGGGAGCTACTCACTTGCATGACTTGTGGGAGCAGGGCCTGAAGATGGCCGAGATGGGGTGTGCGTAGCAGATGGGGCACAGGTCTTCCTCGCTGGTGGGCTGTGGGGGTTACCAGGAGTTAGCAGGGCCATCCAAAGTCCCGTGTCCCAGGCCTGCTGTCAAGGACTGGGACAGGGCTGGGGCAGGGGCAGGACTCACCAGGGTGGTTGCAGCTGCCTGCTTGGACTCCTCACTCAGATGGTTCAGCATCTTTTCCACCTTTGTCAGCTCCTCAGTACTGATGTACTCTGTGTCTGGGGAGTAAATTGGGTGTTTGCAGGGTGAATGGGACCCTCAGGCTGTCCTGAGGCTGCTGAGTGATGCACAGGGGCTGCAGCTGCCCTTGGGGACCAGCAGGACAGGGAGCACCAGACATTGAGGAGGGCAGAACTAATGGCTGGCACTGGATACATCCCCATCCAAAGTGCTGTTCCTGGGGTGGTGGAGGAGGGCATAGACACCTGTCCCACAGACTAAAAGGGCTGGGATGTTGCAAGGGACACAGCCACCAGCAGCTCCATTCCCCCCTCCCCAGCTGTGGCTGGGAGGTGAGCAGAGCCCAGCTCCAGTGCAGTGCCAACACTTACAGGTGTGCAGGGAGAAGTGGCGCTTGTCTGTGGCCGGGGCAGCTGCTGCCAGGGCCGAGGGCTCGGCGTGGCCCAGCAGGTACTGGATGGAGCGCAGCTGGAAGCAGGGATCTGCCAGCAGCACCGCCGTGGCGCGCTCGGTCCTGCCGGGGAACACAGAGCTCAGACAACCCCCCTGTGCTCCCACACCAGCATCCCCAGCTGCTGTCCCCCTGCTCCATGCTCAGATGCAGCCAAAGAGCAGCAGCCATCCTCCTCCTCCTCTGGCACCCCGACTCAGAGGCTTGGATCGATGCAGTGCTTCAGCACTTGCTGAGGCTGCAGCCCTCGGGCCAGTGCCTGAGCCTGGGGTTGCTGCAGGGCAGCTGAGGCATCCAGCGCTGCCCTTGGTCACAGCACCCCAGGGGAGATGCTCTGCAGAGCATCAGCCCCCTCACACGGGGGCTGGGGCCCTCCTGCACCGACAGGACAGCTCAGGGTGCGCTCAGGGCAAACGGGTCCCCCCCAAAAGGCCCTCCCTGATTTCAGTGGACACAGCCAGGACGGATGAAGGTCGCCTTAATGAGTGCCTCCCTCGGGCACCAGTGCCTGGTAACAGTCCCTGGCAGGAGCAGAGCTGCTCCGTGGCCGGCCCAGGGGCAAGCAGAGCAGCCCCAGCGGCAGGAGGGGCAAGGGAGCAGCCAGTCAGCACAGACTGAGCCAGGGCGCAGGGGGTTAACAGCCCCTTGACTCGCAGCAGCCGCAGCCGCCAAATTAGCTTTTTGCTGCCCTAATGGAAAACAATTCCCCAGCTCTCCTCTTCCCACTAAACCGCCTGAGCTCTGGATAATGACATTCCTGCGTGTCCTTCACCCTGTGGCCACTCCTTCCCTGTCAGCAGCCCACGGCACCCCCTCTGCCGTGGGGACCCCACCGGGCTGAGCCCCCCTGCCCACCGCAGGGCCGGGGGTGCTGGGGGGTCCCCGCCCGTGGGGTGATGAGGATTAGGGAGCAGGACGGACCGCGGCTGGCAGAGAAGCAGCAGTGGGGGGAGGTGACCGCCATCCACTCGCAGCCTGGTGCAGGATGTGACACGAGGAGCTCCCAGAGGTGACGGGTTTATTCCAGCATTCTGCCAGCGGCTGGGCAGCGGCGGAGCAGCCGCTCTATGGATTACAGCCTCCATCCTCAGCTCCCCGGCGGCTGCACACCGGTACGGCCAGTGATCCTCAGCTGCCCTGGGGACGAGCGACCACGCAGGGTCGGTGCTGGCTGCGCATCCTCTGCCCACCCGCAGGGAGGGCCGCGGCCAGGGAAGGGGACAGGGACCGGGCCAGGGCCACCACTCCCCGCGCCGGGGCCAATGAGATCCCGCCCGGCCCCCTCGCCGCGCACCGCCCGCCCGTAAATAGGGGCAGGAGCGGGATCGGCTCCCGGAGCTCCCGGAGATGCTGCCCCGGACGGAGCCGCACCAGGCTCCCCGGAGGTCGCAGCGTGCGGATGTGCCCCGGCGGCGCTGAGCCCTGAGAAACTTCGCGCTCCAGGGATGAGCAGCTCCGGGAGGCAGCGAGGCGCCCGCCCAGCCCGACACAGACACAGCCCGAGCGCCCCAGCCCCCCGGAGCTGATCGGCGGCGCCCAGCCAGCCCCGGCAGCGCCCGGCCCCCGGCAGCGCAGGTACGAGGCAGCCTCGGGTGAGCCGCGGCAGGGCCGGGCAGGGCGATGCCGCCCTTTGGGTCTCCTCAGGCCCCACGGCTGGAATCGGGATCCTCTTCCGCGGGGTGCAAAAGGGCGCCTGTGGATGCCTGGTAGAGCCAAGGCAGCGCTGGGGGAGAGACGAAAGACGGCGGCAGATTTTTCTCGCGTCTCATCGAGCCTGGCCGTGCCGCGGGGCTGTACAGAGGCTCCTGCCCGCCACAATGTCCTCGCCGGCGACCGCGGACTCGGTGTGGCCGCGGGTGGCAAAGCTGTTCCTGCTGCTGCTCCAGATGTGCGCCCCCCGAGCCTCCCCGCAGCCCCACCGCTGCCCCAACACCTGCATCTGCACCTCCGACCTGCTGAGCTGCAGCCGGCAGACGCTGCAGTGGGTGCCCCAGGCACTGCCGCCCACCACCACCACGCTGGACCTCAGCCACAACGCCCTCAGCCGGCTCCACGACCACTGGCTGGCCGCCCTCCCGCACCTCGAGGCCCTCCACATCAGCCACAACCAGATTCAGGACCTTTCTCCGCGGGCTTTCCACAACGCCTCCTTCCTGCGGCACCTGGACATGTCCTCCAACCACCTGCAAGCCGTGGAGAGGCACTACTTCGAGGCGCTGGTGAGCCTGGAGGAGCTGCTGCTCTACGACAACCACATCAAGCGGGTGGATGAAAACGCCTTTGCCAAGCTGAGCGATCTGAGGAAAGTCTACCTGAGCTGGAACAACCTGACCACCTTCCCCTTCCATGCTGTGCAGGGGCTGGGAATCCACAAGCTCCGCACGCTGGACCTCTCCTCCAATAGCCTGAGCAGCATCCCCGTGGAGGTGCTGGCAGCTCTGCCCGAAAACGTCGGCAATGGCTTGTACCTGCACAACAACCCCATCAGGTGCAGCTGCCAGCTCTACCTGATGCTTCAGCGCTGGAATCAGCGAGGTTTCAGCTCCGTGAAAGATTTCTCAGAGGAGCACACCTGCAAGGTGTCTGACAACGTGCCCCGGTCCCTGATCAAGTTCCTCAAGCACAGAGACATGTTTGAGAACTGCTCGGCGAGCACTGAAGACCCACACCTCTCACACCTGGAGGTGGTGGTGGGCCAGCCCGTCCTGCTCACCTGTAACAGCAGTAACAGCAGCCTGCCCCACACTGCCAGCACCTCCATGTGGATCACCCCTCACCACGAGCCCATCAAACCCCCGGGGAACAGCAATCGCTCCCTGGAGGTCCATCGCAACGGCAGCCTGAGGATCGCCGCAGCCAAGCCCTGGCTCTCGGGGGTCTACGTGGGCTTGGCCATGAACAGCCCCTACAACTTCAGCAGGATGTGCGAGTTCAACGTGACCGTCCTCTACCCCAAGGCAGCTGGGGAGACCTTCAGCACTGGCCTCACGACCCTGCTGGGCTGCATCGTGAGCCTGGTGCTGGTGATCATCTACCTGTACCTGACGCCGTGCCGCTGCCTGGGCTGCTGCAGGCGGCCGGCGCCGCTGAGCCCCCCGCAGGAGTGCAGCGCCCAGTCCTCCATCCTGAGCACCACTCCCCCGGCCACCGACGGGCCGCACCGCAAGGCCAGCGCCAACAAACACGTCGTGTTCCTGGAGCCCATCAGGGAGGCACAGAACGGCAAGATCCGCCTGGCCCTCGGCGAGGACTTCCCCGACCCCAAGCACCCCAAGGTCCTGCAGCTCAAGTCGGACTCAGAGTCCATCAGCTCTGTCTTTTCTGACACCCCCATCGTGTCTTAGTGGGACAGAGCTGGGGCAGAGCCGAGGCCTCCCGAGAGCTGGTCTGCTCCATCGCTGCTAGATCAGGATTATGGGCATCCCGAATTCCTGGCTTGACCACAACCCACGGGAGCGACTGACATCACCCACAACTGCTTCAGCCACGGGCTCCTGGTGGGTTCTGTGCCACGGGCACATTGGTGCCCAGCACGAGCACCTTGCATAATCTGCTGGCAATGCCCTTGTTAGCACATGGGTAATGCTGACGAACCCAGCATGCTGGAGAAACACCCCTTCATTTGGGCACCCGCCCTCCCTAGTGTGACACCAGGCCTGGGGGTCTGTCATGTC